CCCTTTGTGTGTTTCAAGAGGAAAGTAGATGGGTGTATGAAGGATAAAACCTTAAAGGGGAGATAAGGCAGATAATGGGATTAAATGAACAAACTTCAGTCTCTAACTCAACAACAACAACAACTCTAACTCAGCTGCTCACTGTGGGCAAAATTCATCAATTATCCATGGACTGCTCTGGAGCATTTCATCCTAAATAAAACTAACAGTCAAATATATGCTACATACTTATCAAAAACAAAAAATCAAAATGGACATTTGGTCCAATCTGTACTACCAACATTTCTTCTAGTACCTCAGAGAATAGAAATTAATTTTGCTGATAAAAAATGATTTTAATTGCCAATATAAGTATAGTGGAGTCCCATTATTATCCATAAAATCCCAACCAGCATTATAACTGGTTAAATTGCTGGGCAGCAAGACAAAACATTGTCTGGCACAGAGAAAGTAAAAAAAGACGACTTCCAGGTCATCGAGTTGCTGCCGATATCATTTCCTGCATTCTATGCGTGTGGAATACGCAGGAAGCTTTAGTCAATTTTATTTGGGGCATTGTTGGCCAGAACACCTGGAGAAACTCCCTTCTCTGTTTAAATAGTATGAGGATCTCTAATGTCTGCCTGAATAGGCAGATGAGACATCATCAACAACAACTTGAATTTATATAGCGCCCTCCACGCCGGACGGCGTCTCAGAGCGCTTTACAGTAACGCATCCTGGCGCCGAGCCTGGGGGAGGGGGAAGAAGGTGACCAAAGCAGCGGTTGAAGAGAAAGGTCTTCAGCAGAGACCTGAAAATAGGAAGAGAGGGGACGAGGCGAAGGGAGTGAGGAAGGGCATTCCAGACCCTCGGGGGTAGTGGCTGAAGGCAGGGTTGCCGAGGGTGGAGCGGAGGACTTGTAGGACGAGGAGAACATCAGTTGAACATCTCATTCAAACAGTACCTGCAAAAGTGTAGTGCTCCTCCAGCATGATATAATCTAGTTTAGCCTAGACTATGAGCTATTGATTTCATGTCAAATTTGTACACGACAGCCACATGGTTTTGCTTTTCTGGTAGAATTTATCTCCCAAGTGCTCATTGATAGGATAAATGCAGGTCTGGAGATTGATCTCAAGAGGAAGTCTGGACAATTTTATTCCTCGACATGCAACAACAGTACAACTGACTAACTTTTCACTTTTAGAAAAGTTGAACCAACTTTTGGTAATTTTGCACTTTTGGAAAACCTTTTTATTTGGTGGACTGTTGGCCAGGGCAGGGATTAAAAGATCTGCCAAGATTTAATATACTGCTGGAACAGACTTGCTCTGAAATGTCTCTACCTGTTCTTGTGCTTTACTAAATTCCTATATTCAACAATGAGCTGAAAGTTCTGCCGCTCTAAGCTATGATGAATTATTCAATGAAGTGCAATGTCCTGCAGCTTACTCACATGGTGACAGACACTTGGGAAATGTTCCCATCTCAGAAGCCAGAACTATTTATTAACCATTTTCAATGTAAAATAAAATCCCGAACTAGGAAATGGAGGAATATGAATAGTTAATTCCCATGTGAGAAAAACATTACAACAGACTTGTGTTCCTTGTTAACTTTCTGACCCAGAGCAGGCGAATACCTTCACAAGGGAGCATGACTGGAGAAATGGGAACAGAGGGATTTCCGCAATTTTTATTTTACTCCAGGAATTCAGCCCATTTTATGCTGAAACGGGGTCTTCCAAGTTCTATAGACTTAGTAGGAGCTCGTGAGAAGCTACTGACACATTCATAGATTTCAGATAACATACACATTCAGATAAAGGCATTGATGGGCATCTAGACATAGTACTGCTTGGTCTGCTCTGATTGTGATAAGATGTTTTTTTCTCTGGTTTTCGGACAGATTCGCTGCTAGATATTCTTTCTGGGATGGGGAGTGGGGGGAATCAAGCTGCTTTTTTGTTTGTACTTACTGAAGCAGCAGTAGAAATCCTGTCATTGTTCAGACTTTGCTGACCGCTCACCATTGCTGAATGAAGCCCTTAGTTAGCGTCTCCCAACTGGCTGACTCCAGGTCCAAGGGAGTTTTAAGATTTAATTTTAAAGAATCTTTTATTTCATAGAGCACCTTTAACATCAGCAAGTCGTCTCAATCCACTTCACAACATTTACTGTAAAGTGCAGTTGTTATTCCTGCATCGACTGGCCCACAGGTATGACCTTCACCTCCTCTTTCTCTCCACCGGACTATTGTTTGATTCAAAGGGACAGCAGATGCCATTAAAGGTGCCGGCCATGGAAAGTGCTGTTTCCCAGGATTCAGGCTTAGTTCAACAGGAGTCAAATGCCATTGAATGGCCTATACTGCAATTTTCAACAATGCAATCATTCTCACTGATAACACTATACTTTGCAAGTTTCACTTCTCCCACTATCATGTCTGTGCTGGTGCTCATTCATCTATCGGAGCTTAATTTAATATCATTATAATTAATAAAAATCCTTCCATTTGATATAGCGCCTTATCACATCGTTGAGATGTCTCAAAAGTGCTTTACAGAATATATTATAAAGTGGATTGACTGTATTTTGTGGGAGAAACACAGCAGCCCAATTGAAACAGCAGTGTCTCACAAATAGTCGTGGATTGAGAGGCCAATTTTTTTTGAGGGTTTATTTCCCCTGGAAAGCAATCTGCCAATCAACTAACAACCGAATTCCTACTTACTGCTAGGTAAACAGAGGCACTTGGATTAAGAACACTTGCCTAAGCTTTCACCCCTCCCTGGAATTGAACTCGGGTCCTCTCGCTTGCAAGGCGAGTACGCTAACCACCATGCTATGGGGCTCCATGCTAAGCTTTGGGACTACCCTCTCCTGCTCCTTCCCCATAGCATTTAATAATACCTTTTCATATTTCGTAATGCACAAAGTAAACAGATGGCCAAGAGATAGACAATTTCTGCTATAATATTCCCCGTTACAGGCATATGAGCAAACCTTCTCCAAAGGATTAGTATCCCCTGAAAATCAATGGCATTCTAATTTAGATCCAACTTTTTTGTCTTCGTTCTGGACGCATTAATAATAAATTCCATGAAAATAAAGCTGGTCTCATATGTCACAAAGTTCAGTGTTGTTACTAAAACGTAAATGTGTTGTTAATAATCCTCTGGCATTCTTTTTTAATAAAATATCCATTCCTTAGAGAGGCATAAAATAAGTTACCTCATGTGTTGTTTAGAGTTAACTTTCTCTTTTTAAGACTTTTGCCCTGACCTATAGGCTGTGAGTTGTAATTTGCACGGTTCAAGCAAAAGTTTAATGTGTTTTGCAGAACTATTGATTTGTCTGCTGCCTGCACAGACTCTCTGTGTGAAGCAAGTCAAAGGCAAAGCTTCAATTTTTTTAGACCCATAGCAATGGTCATTTCTCTGTGATGTAAACATCGTTTCCTGACTCAATCTGAGTTAAGTCAGCAACAATGGCAATGTTAAAAATCTTCGGACGGTCTTCGAGCCCAATTATTGTGCCACAGCCATTCTTCAGTAATAAACAGATAGGGAGAAATTCCATCTACCAAATTCTGAAGGCTCTGAAATGGTCCATAAACAGATTAAATTCAGACCTAGGTGCAATTTGTCTCCACGCATGTTCTGATATTTCTTAACCGATTTGGAACACATTAGATCTGTTGCGAAGTGTTGCATTTTTAACCCTATCATTTACATCCGTGACATTTCCTGATTTGCTCTGTGTCCAATATGTTCTACACTAACATTAACACTTTGCAGGATGTGACACCTGCCTGCTGTCCCATCCTTCAAGTTACAGAGACAGCATTCACACGGTCTCAAATGGTATTGCTTTCCTCCAAAATAATGTATGACTTTACAAAGCAGGAGTTTCTGTGCTTTTAATACCTGAATGAGGTTACCATTTTATTATGAACTAGCAATAAACCTTAATTCATTGTTATATTTCCTTTAACATTTAAGTAGATATATCAAAGCCATTCCAGCGCACGCCAACAGACCACAAGGGTCAGTCTGAATTTCATACACAGATCAGCTTGCAGATCGTTCCACTGTTTAGCATAAAAGAGATAACATTTTATTTTCAAACAAAAGTTTGCATAGGTCTGTCACATGTATGTGAGGGGTACATGTTAAAGAAAAAATGCATGCTGCAGGCCAGTGGTGGCCAATTTGTGGCCCATGGGCTACTTCTGGCCTGCGAAGCTGTCAAGAAGCGTCTCCCAAACATTCGCACAACTCTAGGTAAGTCGGTGTTTGATCATTAGTGTGTTTTCATTTTTTTCCTGATTGCACCTTTCTTGAATCATGGCATAAATCAAGAAATATTTAATCAAGAAAATTTATTTTGTTGTCCGACCATAAAGGTTATCCATTACTGCTGTACACAATACTAGTGCACCCATTTGTATACATAGAAAGCACACACAAGGAGGAAAGTACGTGCACACATGCTTGAATGTCCATGAACGTTCCTTGTGTGCATGCATATGGGTGTGCATGATTTTGTTCTGTAAATACTGTAGTAATGTTATGGCTGCCTGAATAATTACTGGTAGTTGGCAAGTTCTGCATCGCTAATATATCAGTCCAGACTTGGAATAGCGTTTGTAACAAGCCTGGAAAAATGGAAAGTTAGGTCAGGGATTCTGAGCACATAGTCTGTGGAGACAAATTACAAGCCTCATCTGGTCAATTTTATAATTCTTTTTTGAGTTGATGCAGTTTGGCTTTCAGCTCGCACAAGTAAACTGTGTCCACCATGTCCTGACATTTGACTCGTGAAACTTTTGACCCTTGACATAGAATTGGCTCTTGGTTTGCATCTCTGAGTCCAAAGATCTTTGGTTCCTATCAATCTATGCTTCTAAAAATAAAGAACTATGACCAAAACAAACATATTACATTGGGAGGTGGAATGTCAGCAACACATCAGTAATAATAAAAGAGAAACGGGGAGTCTGTAGAGAGTACTTACCCATACACTCATGCTGCAGCCCCTTTCCGTAGTAGCCTTTCTCACATATACACTCATACTGGCCATTGTTGGTGCCGCACTTACAGCTAGCCATCACATCACAACAGTCCCGGCCTGATTCACAGAGAAACGCACAGCGGAATATGTCCTCTTGGATGTAGTTACCGGAGGGGAGATCTGGAAAGAGCAACACAGTGTTAGGTTCCTGTGTGGTGTCCTGTAGTGTATTGGTCAGAGCACTTGTCTTACAAGTGAGAGGACCCAGGTTGGATTCCTTAGGCAAGTTTCCTTATTCCACACTAAAACAGACTGCTTATCTCTCATCCCCTCCACCATTGGCAAACGTGCATTCAGCCCTACGCCCCTAAACTATGGAACTCTGCCTCAATTTCTCTGCCTTGCCTTCTGCTTGCCTCTTTTCAGATCACATGTGAAGACCTTCCTCTTCAACCGTGCCTACAGTCATCTCCCTCTCTCCCAGCTCGGTGTGAGGCTCCGCTAATGTTAAGCACTCTGAGACGCTACCCCGTATGAAGGGCATTGTATAAATGTAAGTAGCAGTAGTTGTTGGAAGCAGAAACGGAAGTGATGTGGAGACTGATGGATGTGCATTCCTTTTTCTCCACCTCAATAAAAGATAACTTATTTAAAATAACAACTGCCTTTGACTTCAATATACTAAATGCAATTCCAAAAGTCCAGATCGTGCCAGCATTATCTGAAGCAGTCACTGGTTTGCTGCTATTGATGTTTTTATTTTTTGTACAATGGTATAAGACAGATGTTACAAAACCTAGACATTGCCCTGGCAATGCAATCTGTGCCTCTGAATAACACTCTCCACGTACATAACAGGAAAGTTCCGCTTTCTGACTTGAACTGAAGCCATTTGCTGGCTGTCAGAGTCAGATTTTTTTGCTCTCTGGATCAGACCTAGATCATTTGTAANTTTTTTTAAACCTCATTTGAACAGCAGAGAATTTTCCACTTTGCATCCTGACCTGTACAGAAACACGCCACTTCAAGACCTGAAGGGCAACAAGACCAAACAGATATTCAGGGACATGTTGAACTACCTGATTACAAATGAAGAGCCATCAATCATTTATGTAAGCAGAGAGTTACATATTCACTCTAAAGCTGCCAGAAATTAATTCAAGCCAAAGTCAAAAACAGTTTTTCAGAAGCTTCTGTTTCACATTAAAACTCAAAGGTGAAACACCTTCTTACTACCTCCGTTCCTCTCTGCACCACTCTTGAATCCATACTTCTTTTCGCCCTGCTTGGTGATCCCTATATCTCTGAAGTGCTTTGAGCCATTCATTCTACATGAAAAGTGCCCAAATAAGGTTACAAGATCACACAGGACAGGACATAAAGAAGTCCTATCGACCATTTTGATCTCACCTTTGCAGAAGACACACCCTCCCATCCTCCCATCACAGCAGCAAAAATGTTTCTTTATATGAAATGTGCGAGTTGTTGTTATAGTTGTCAAACCAACAGACGAAATCTTCTGGAATTAGCCAGCTCAGAAGAAGAAGTTAAAGTACAAAATTTAAAAAAAACATAAGGACAAAATAAAGAACACTATTAGACAATATATAGACATCAAAAAAAATTGACCACTAAATAACAATAAAATAATAATCTTTACATTTGCCATAACACCTTTCGCGTCAGGAGGATGTATCAAAATGCTTCACAGCATTTACTGGCAATGTATGTGGCAACCAATTTGCACATAGTGGTCCTATAAACAGCCATTAAGTGAATAGGCAATTTTAGTTGAGAGATTCCTTGGCTAGGACAATGAGAAACTCCTTTCTCTTTTCAAATCGTACTATGGGATTTTTAGCGTCCACTTGAACAGGCAGATGTTTAACTCTTCATATGAAGTATAGCAACTCCAGCAATGCAGCACACCCCCAACACTGCACTGGAGTGGCAACCAAAACTGGGCTCAAAGTCCAGTCATGAGGCCGAAATTCAATGCCGTCTTCTGGCTCTAAGCAGCATAAATGAATATTATTATTCAATAATAATAAGCAAATATTATGTAAGAAAACAATAATGATAATCCTTGTGTTTCATGTTGACAAAATGTCTCAAAACACTTCACAAGGTTTTTATTGTTAAGTATAGTAAACTGTATTTGTACGCAAACATGACTGTCAATTTACACACAGCAATTTCTCACAAACAGCCGTCATGGCATGACGTGAATGAATTAAATCCACTCACTTTCAGACTTCAAATGTTTGAGGATTTTTGTTGGGCCGCTCTGCTACACTTTCTACATTCCCACTTTGTTAACTCAGTTTGGTAATGTGATGATAATCACATCAACATTTCCCACCTATTATTTTACACAAATTAACAAATAATGAATGTGTTTTACTAAAAGGGCTTCACCCCCCCCATTGATTTTATGACTTCGTAATCTGGTTAGTGAAATTAAATGTTGTCGTTTGTATAAACCATGTAACTATGAAGATTATTTTATATAATCTTCTGGCTCTGCACACCTAACACCACATTTATATAAAAAAGGTGGATACCCCACACAAGTAAATGCACTGAGCAAAATTACTTTTTGGCATTTTGAATTTGGCAAACTGTTGAAATCAATCTCAACTTTGAAGACCATCTTCTGCATTTCTTAAACAAAACTTACAGAAAATCAACTTCATAATTAAAGCTGAATTTAAGAATTTGTCAAAGTCTGGATTCCCATAAATGCTACGTTAGAGTTAATCTAGACCAAGGTAGAATTTCTATCCTCCCTCATTGTTTTAATCAACCATGTCCCCAGCTTGGGCTAAGCCAGATCCTAAAATCCTTCAGGGATCAGAGTTCCACATACAGACATTTAACTCAGTGGCTTACTTAAACACAACACTTTCAAACTCTTCCAAACCCAATCATTCCAGCAGACGACCAAAAGCTTTTAATCAGATCTCAAAACATTTATTTTTACATATTATAAGAAACCATAAACCCTTCCACCACTTCAAAAGTTGCAAAGACCAAAAAAACAAAAACAACTCCACAAATAAATGATTTCCTGAGTTATAAAATGTATTTCTGGTAAAACATGAATTCCTCTGGTGGCTCAAGTAACAAAGCTGTCTCCACTAGTGTGAAAAATAAGCCGAGCATGCCCAGAACGTCTCAAATTTAATCCCAGTCTATACTAGGATAACTGATCTCTGTGGAGTCCTGCAGCTTAGTGGTTAGAGCACTCGTCTCGCAAGCAAGAGGATCTGGGTTCAATTCCTGTCAGGGTGCAACGTTAGGCAAATTTCCTTACTCCACACGCCTCTGTTTAACTAGCAGGAGGTAGGAACCTGGTTGTTCGTTGATTGGTGGATTGTTTTTCCATGGCTAATGATCCCTTGAACTAAAGAAACAAAAAAAATGTAGTCAATCAATCCACGACTGTTTATGGGACACTGTTGTGCACAATTTGCTGCCACGTTTCGCCAATAAAATATCCTGTTAATTCAGTTTACAGTTTATTCTGTGAAGCGCTTTGTGATGCCTCAAACATGTGATGAGACGCTATATCAAGTGCAAGGATTATTATTATCTCAGCCGTCCTGCAGTTGGACTGGAAGAACCATACTTAGTGCCCTCAAGTACAGAGGGAGAAATAAAACAAACTAATGTTGTTTCTACTGCTCATTAGCGACAGCTAGATTTTGTTCCAAAAGCCCTCTCTCACAGCCAGGTGAATCCAAGACATTCATATTAGTTTTGCGTGTTCCTGGTGGTGAGCCTATACTTCAGATCAGACATTAAACTGAAATCCCATCTGCCTGCTTGGGTGAATGTTAAAAATCCCACAGAGAAGGGAATTTCTCCACTGTGTCAGCTTGGCTGAGTGGGTGGTACACTTGGCTGTGGGTCAGAAGGTTGTGGATTCAGGCTTCATGTCAGGGCTTGAGCTCAACAACAGTGATCAACGCCACTCCATGGTCAGTTCACAGAGATAGAATTGAAGGTGAATTGTGTAATTTCCAACGGTTGAGCACTCTGGCTGAGGAACATTGAATTTCAACCAGAAATGAATGCCAGACATTGCCAGCTGGACTGAGAAAATATTTACAACTAGTATAAATCAGAGCTGCTAATAATGCTTTATTTCCAAACAGTTAGTATTCATTAAAATAAGTCTCTAATCAATAATCTTATTGCAATTTAAGAAGCAAACTCTATCCATTTACTCTGCTTCAAAGTCACACAGACAAAAAAACCTTATTTAGCCTTAGATTGAAGGAAATCATTGCCCTATTTTTCTAAGCTTTCAGCTCACACACATTGTGAAGCTGAAACAAACATTGACTTTGCAGTACGCAAAATACTGCAGATGTTGGAAATTTGAAACAAAAACAGATGTCACTGGGAACACTTAGCAGGTCAGGCAGCATCTATGGAAAGGAAAGTGAGTCAATGTTTTGGGTCCACAACCCTTCATCAGAACTGGGGCATATTGGGAGGGAGAGTGTAGTGATTCTAAATTTGCAGTGATTCTCAGATCTTATGAATACAATAACAATGTATCTGTTATTTTACCTGGCTAGGACATAAGGGATTTTTAAAAAATAAAACAGTGCTATTAAATCTTAAATTTTAATGTCTTATCCGTAGACGACACCTTCAACAACATAGTGCTCACCAAGTACTGGGCTGGATTTCAAATAATATAATAATAATAATAATCCTTGCATTTGATATAGCGCTTTTCACGTTGGGAGGACGTCCCAAAGCGCTTCACAGAACATAATGTAAAGTGAATTGACTGTATAGTTGTGGGCGAACGCGGCAGCCAATTGCGCACAGCAATGTCCCACAAACAGTCGTGGATTGAAAATGACCAATTTATTATTGTTTTCTTTTTTGGAGGGATTATTATTAGGTGTGTGGAGTAAGGAAACTTGCCCAAGGTTTCGCCCTGTGTACCTATTAATAAATGATGTTTGATATTTCATCCTCACTGCTCAGTCTTTCTCTTTATATCCTACCGTATAACCCAATGCAAGCTATTTATGGTACCTTCTTTCTACTACTTGGACTAGAGCTGTGGTGATTTTCTGAAGATGTTTATTTTACAAGCCAAAAGAGGTACTGTAACACTAAGACAACAACAACAACATGGACGTGAGCTGGGGGTCGGGGTCGGGGAGGGTGGAGGATGGTGGGGGGCAAGTAAGGAGATCGAAAGTACGATCGAAAACGAGAGTCTTAAGAATGGTCTTGAAGGAGGCAAAGGAGGGGGCAAGGTGGAGGGACCGCAGGATGGAGTTCCAGAGAGTGGGGGCAGAGTGGCAGAAGGCCCGCCATTGGTGGGGCGAGCGAGGCGGGGGACATGAAGCAGGCCGGAGCCTGCTGAGCGGAGGGAGAGAGCAGGATGGTAGGGGTATACGAAGTCGCAGAGGTAGGAGACAAGACCATAGAGGGCTTTGAAGGTAAGGATCAGTATCTTGATTTGTATCCTCTGTGTGATGGGAAGCCAGTGGAATCGGGGGAGGATGGGGGTGATAGCTTTGCGGAGCCTGGTGCGAGAGAGGACGTGGGCAGTAGAAATTTGGATAATCTGCAGCCTCTGGAGGGAGGAGTTGAGACTACGGGATGGAGTTCCGGAGGGTTGGGGCAGAGTGGTGGAAGGCCCGCTCCCCAATAGTGGGGCGAGCAAGGCGGGGCATGTGAAGCAGGCTGGAGCCCGCTGAGCGGAGGGAACGAACAGGGTGGTAGGGGGTTAGGAGGTTGCAGAGGTAGGGGAGAGCAAGCCTGTGGAGGGCTTTGAAGGTGAGGAACAGGATCTTGAACTGTATCCTCTGTGTGATGGGAAGCCAGTGGAGTCGGGCAAGGATGGGTGTGACAAGGTCGCGGAGCCTAATGCAGGAGAGGACACGGGCTGCAGAGGTCTGGATGATCTGCAGCCTGTGGAGGGAAGAGTTGGGGAGGCTGACAAGCAATGAGTTTACATAGTCAAGCTTCAATGTAATGAAAGCATGTATGAGGGTTTCATCGGGCTGGGGTATGACAGTGGTGGAGCTGGGTGACATTGCGGAGGTGGGGGAAGGCAGAGGGGGTCATGGCGCAGATGTGGAGTAGAAAGAATAGTTGAGGGTCAAACAAGATCCCAAGGTTCCGGACTGGCTTAGCATGGTGGGGTGTGCAACCATGGATGGTGATGCTGTCAGTGCCTGAGGTGAGGATGCGCTAACAGGAGTCAATCAGGAGAGCCTCCGTCTTGTTGACGTTGGGGAGGCCGATAAGCAATGAGTTTGAGGCTCAATGTAATGAAGGCATTCAACTGAAGAAAATTAGCTCTCATCCAGGTTTGATGTCTGACAAACATTCTGTCAGCACAGCAATGGTCCTGGAGTCAAGGTTGTAGGCAGAGAAGTAGAGTTGGGTGTCATCCCCATAAATGTGGAAGTTGACCTCATGTCTGTGAATGATGTCACCAAGAGGGAGCATATAGATATTGAAGAGGAGGGAACCAAGGACAGAGCCCTGAGGAATGCCACACGAGACTGTGTGGAGGCTAGAGGAGAAAACGTTTGTTGAGATGAACCAGTCAAGGACAGAGCCATGAAGGTTGAGGTGAGAGGAGATGCGGTGGATGAGGATAGAGTGGTCGATGGTGTTGAAGGAAGCAGAGAGGTCAAGGAGGATGAGGAGGCAGAGGGAGCCTTGGTCGCAGATGGATAGAATGTCATTTGTCACTTTGACCAGGGCTGTTTCTGTGCTGTGGGTGTCACAGAAACCCGATTGGAGGGGTTCGTGAAGGGGGTGGCGGGAGAGGAAGGAGCAAAGCTGGAAAGCAATAAATCCTTCCAAGACCTTGAAGAGGAAAGGGTGGTTGTAGATGGGGCGGTAATTTGGGAGTAGAGATTGGTCCTGGGAGGATTTGTTAAGGATAGGAGTGATGACGGCGATTGTCATTGCGTGAGGAATAGGTCATTGCGGGAGGAAGCCCAGAGGGGAAGAAGTTCAGATGACTCCAAAGCAGTTGAGAGGGAGGGATGCAAATTTTTTTCCAAGGGTGATAGGAGATGGAGGTGGGTTGGGTGACGGTGGGGGAGAGGGATTGAGGAGTTAAGGGAGATGAAGTGATGGTCCAAGATTGCTTTGTCAATGATGGTGACATCTGAGACGGTAAGGCCCTGAGTGATCACCAGGTCGAGGAGTTGACCATGGATGTGGGTGGCGGAGTGGATGTGGAGGGAAAGATTGAGGGAGGGGATAAGGTAGGAGACATCCGCAGAGGTAGAGCAGGAGGGGTGAAGTGAAGGTTGAAATCGCCAAGGATGAGGAGGAGATAGGAGCAGAGGGAGAGGGAGAATAGGTGGGTGGAGATGTGGGGGATAAAGGTAGGGGAGGGCTTTGGGGGGCAATAGATGAGGAGGATTTTGAGAGAAAGGTTGGAGGGGTGATAAAGGGTAAGGTGCTCAAAGAGGGGAAGGTTCCATAGGAGGAAGTGAAGCCGAGCGGGGACCGGGAGGTGAGAGCTACGCCACCAGCACAGCGGTTAGGTTGAGGGATGTGATGGAAGGTGTAGCCAGGTGGTGTGGCCTCTGTCAGGGGGAAGGGGTTGCCTGGAGCGATCCAGGTTTCAATGAGGGTGAGAATGTCAATGTATTCATCGACAATGAGGTCTTGGATGGTGAGTGTTTTGTTGGAGAGGGAACGGACATTTTGTAGCCCGATGCGGAGGGGACAGCTGATGGCAGAATGTGGGGGGCGAGGGGGGTGAGGAGGAGGACTGACATGGAGGGTGGTGATGTGGATCAGGGAGGAAAGGTTGGCCCCTGGGGTCAGGGACTGGTGAGCCTTGCAGCGAGAGTAGGGGACAGGGCAGTCAGAGTGGCTGTTGTTAGACAGACAGTGGCGTCTGCCACGGTGGGCTCGATGGAGGATTCGAAGACTGGAGCAGAGGGAGGCTGTGGGACGGTCGAGCAGGGATAGCAGTCAGGGAGGGCGGTGGGAGAGGAGGACCGAGTGGGAGTAGTGGAGGTTAGATGACAGGGGTGGGGGCATTTTGGGGAAGCAGCTCGGGTCGGAGCTAATCAGAGTTTACAGGAATCGAGATGACAATAATAATTATATTAATAAATGGCTACGTATAGCGACTTATCATAGTGAAACATCACAAAGAGCTTGAACGATTTTTTTCGGTAAAATGTAGTGACTGTAGATTGCAGAACCAAACACCTGACCTCTATACCACACAAAAGAATCCTGGTAATGGAATGATTCATCTGGGAGTGAAGGGAGACCAGAGAAAGAACCAACTGGCAGCACATAACCCACTTGTCTTTAAGCCTGTTCAACTGTTGGCACTCTGAATCACTTACTATGTCCCACCACTCACTTGTGCTAACCTACAACAGACTGCGGAAGCCAACAATGCATTTTCAGTAGCACATTGCTGTTCCTCTCAATGACCGTGTAAAAGTTGGCGTTGGCTGATAAATAACCTGCCAACGCTCATTCTACAGTTTCACATGAGCAATGACCATTTGAGAAAAAGGGCACCAGTGGGAACATATCCCAACAACAACAAATTACATTTGTATAGCACCTTACATGTCAGGAGGACATTCTAATCCCAGCAGGAATTACGCAGTGAGAAACTGAATAACAAATGTGAATGCTGTCGTCCAATTGGGCTCCTACCTTCGTGAAGTGCTCTTCGAGCTAAGGCCTCAAACTCAGCAAAACTGTGCAGGATGTAGCAGTGCTCTTCCTTAGGATGTGAGGCCATGTCTTGCAGTTCGCGAATGTTACCCTGCCAAATGCCAAACGTAAAGATTTCCACTCCAAGGTCTCGCAGGGAAGCTGCAATGGGCCTCGGATCCCCGCCATTTGAATAGCCATCTGTGATAAGGAAGACCACTTTGGTGGAGTTCACACGTGAATGCCGCAGTATTTGCTAAACAAACAAGAAGAGCAGCACATTACATATTACTGAAGACAGCATCATATAGTATACCTTGTGTTTGATATTGCGCCTTATCACATCCTTGAGATGTCTCAAAGCACTTTACAGAATATATTGTAAAGTGGATTGACTGTGTATTTTATGGTAAAACGCTGAGGCCAATTGTTCACAGCCGAATCCCATGAACAGTTGTGGACTGAATGACCCAATTTATTTTTAGGGAGGAATTACTACCCCGGAAAGTGATCTGCCAATCGAGTAACAACCAGGTTCCTACTTACTGCTACGTAAACAGAGGCGTGTGGAGTGAGGAAACTTGCCTAAAGTTTCACCCCGCCCGGGAATCAAACCTAGGTCCTCTTGCTTGCGAGGTGAGTGCATTAACTACTACACTATGGGATTCCACAGAGTGATAAGATCAGAGCACTAAAATTCCACCCTCGACGTATAAGACGCTCTATAAATGTAATTTTGTTGTTATTGTTGTAACCAAAGTTACTCAATTATGTAACATTTACAGTGTCCAGAATTTGGTGAATTCTTAAATACGGTCTCTGTTTCAAGCTGGTTTTCAGTAAATAAATTTAAGAACTACAAAAAACACAATTCTGAAATGTTATGTGAATAGGGTAAATCCTATAAATTTAACCAATGTTTGATTCCCATTTACTGTTAATTTCAACAGTAAAAAGATATAATAATAAAACTGTATACAACTGGAGTTTAAGGTCATTCCAAGTGTGTTCTACTTCTGTAAGAAATTATGAGTTCAACATTATAGGCCGCCAATTATCATTAAACATTGAGTCTTCTTGAGTCATGCAACTGGCCAGTTTATACATACCACTGTCATCTGCCTTGATATCCCAAAACAGCCATCAACTTGGGTGCAATGATTGAATGGCCTCCCACTGCAATTTCAAGGAATTTTACAATTTGCAATTCTTATTGACTGCAAGTTAATGATGGTTATTAATACACCCAGTTCTGAGTTTTTAATATGTATTGATTCAGTCCCTATAAAGGAATTTGTATTTCTGTTACTGCGGTCCCGAATAACAGCCACTGACCCAGCACAGTGGTGGGAAACAAAATCAATTCTTTTGCACATTTCATACAATGGTATGTATTGAGACCTATTTAGGTTTTTGCAAATAACAAACTCTAAACATAGTTACAAATTTAGTTACGATGAAGTTTATCCTTCAACTCCATGATAATATTAACTATATAGGACAAAGTTTGTAAAGTTTCTTAACTATTGCTTGTGTTAACTATTGCCCATGATATGGCAGCACACACCTCCAGGGAAGCAGATTTTTCCTTTTCATATCCAGCTTTCCCTATCTATTTTTAAATTCAAGTGAAGTATTTTTTGCTGTGTAAATTTTAGCCCCTATTATGGTCTCTAAACTTTTTTTTTCTTTTTTAGTATTTACTCTGCTTCATTTGCCAAGAAGGAATGAAAGCCACATCTTCGATAAATATTTTGCTGATTAAATAGGCTAGGTCAGAGTTTATGACAATTCAACAATTTAATGAATATCATTCAGCATTCAGGACCTGAGAAGACAATTGAGTGAAATAGGTCAAATGATTTTTTAAACACATTCATTTTTTTTCCCCCAAAGTTACATTAACTTGCTTCACATATACAAATGATCTTACTTCAGATTGTTCTAGATGCTGCAGGTCATGTAACTGAATTAATATAGGGTGACCCTGGAATAAAATTGCCTGCATTTATATCCTGGAAGACAGCCAGTCCATGCTGGAATTGATGAAAGTAGTTCTAGTGGATAGTTTTTTACGGAGCTGTTATAATGTAGTGTCTAATTTTCTTGACATATACATTATATTATAAGGATTATAAAAACTAATCCTTGCTTTTAATATAGCCTCTTTCACATTATAAGGACATCTCCAAGCACTTTGCAGGCTTTACTGTGAAGTGTAGTGACTGTATGTTATAGGGAAATGCAGTAACCAATATTGTACACAGCAATGTCCCACAAACAGCCATGAACTGAATGACCACATCTATCTGGGGAGAATGTTGTCCAGGACACCAAGCGAAATGCCCATCACTTTTCAAACAGAACCATGGGATCTTTAATGTCCACCTCAACAGACAGACAGGACCCTGGGTTAACATCTCATCTGAAGAACGAGACCTGTAACAACTCCCCAGCATTGCATTGGAATGTCAGCCTAGACTGTGAATCAAACCCTCAACATGGGACTGAAACCCACAAGCTTGGGACATGGAGACGAGTGTGCTATCAGCGAGCCAGGATGACATACAGTATAACCCTGTAACATTAGAGTTTTACAAATATAGAATGGCTTGGTTGATGAGTCAATAGAAAGAGTGAATCTGGGTGGCTATTTGATTCCAGGATTTGAATTTCCCCAATGCGGCATATCATCAGCTGAATATGAGCTGTTTTATATAGACCAGAAAAACCACAGGATACCATATGCCGATGGATTTCATTTAGGTATCCTCGTGCGGAAATTAAATTCTTATTGCAAGAGTTATACAATCAAACTTGGGTGGGCTGTAAAATTAAAAGAGTAAGAAAGTCATTGTAGAATTGTTGGTAAAACCATGAAAGCTGTTTTTTACATAATCCAGTGTCTTGGTCACAACCACCAAGAGGCTCAGCACCATATGATCTGGAATACAACTGAGAACTTCTTAAGACTTTGCTGACTGGGATCAACGATTCATATACTGCAAGTTTTTGCAATCAAATATTTTCAAAGCAGAAGTTTGCTCCATTGGTGACTATATTTATCATTTACACACTTCAGTTTTAGAATCAGTAAGTTTCAAACTGTAAGATTCAATTCAAATTATGTCTTCCTTACGCATTGGGCAAATACAGTACAAAAAGTTGAGTTTTAAACCTAAGCACAGACTTCCATGGGTGGGGGGGGGGAAGCATTGTTTATCATGTTTATTGGCTTCCAAGCAATAAAAAACGCCCAAAGTTCACACTCCTTCAAACCAATGCCAATATGTGTTTAGGGTAATTTAAAGTTGTGGGCTGCCGTCACTAGATTTATAGTCCATCATTAATCTGTTTGACATACCAAGCGCTGCACTTCTGGCAGCGATAACACTTCAGTCTCTGTTTCTGGCATCAGTATTTAAGAAATGTGGCTTTGTTTACATTCAGAGGGTCCAACCGGTCAATCACTGTGACAGCGATCTTACAACACCAACTCGGTGCTCAATCACCCATTTAGAAACTCAGCGCTGAGCTTTGCAGCTCTCACTGTGATTGGCAGCACTGGCAGCTCAGATCACCGCCCAATCAGAGAGAAGGCCAAGTCAGATAGTTGGCCAATCAGAGAGAAGGTCAGGCCAGATCACCGCCCAATCAGAGAGAAGGCCAAGTCAGATAGTTGGCCAATCAGAGAGAAGGTCAGGCCAGATCACCGCCCAATCAGAGAGAAGGCCAAGTCAGATAGTTGGCCAATCAGAGAGAAGGTCAGGCCAGATCACCGGCCAATCAGGGAGAAGGCCAAGTCAGATAGTTGGCCAATCAGGGAGATGGAGGTCAGACAGTTGGCTGATCCGGGAGAATGTCAGGTCAGATGGTGGAGAGAAGGAAACACTGAGGTGGTGCACAAGCTCTCATGAGCCCAGAGTCTCTCTTCATCAACCTGTTGTGTGATCACAAGATTGGTTTGGATAAAGAAGGCCCCTCAGCCATCCGATCTCATCCTCCAGAACATCCACCCTACCATCCCACCATCAAACAGATTTTTGCATAATCCAGTGTCCTGGCCACAGCCTCCAGGAGGCCCAGGTCCACGTGACCTGGAAGACAACAAGGAACTTCTTAAGCCTTAGCTGACTGGGATCCACGATTCATATGCTGCAAGTTTTTGCAATCAAATATTGCAAAGCAAAGGCACAATGAATCTGGTTTGAAAATATTTGTTAGTGAGACCTGGTGAAACTGTGCCCTTATCAATTTTGATAAGGTTTGTTGAACTACTCCATTGGTATAAACACAGTTTGGCCACAACAAATCGTTATTTAAATACAAAGACTCTCTTTACACTTTTTAAATTATCTTCAAGAGCTGCTAGGTTCTCAGCCTCACATATAAACCCTTTTGCCACTCCTTGTGTAACCCCTCTGTCTTGCCCCCTCACTTGCCTCCTTCAGGGCCCATTTCCAAAACCATTCTGTTCGACCATGCCTTCGGATCATCTTCCCACCATTAATCCCTTTGCTCTCCACCCACCCTGACTCCAGCACGCAGCTCGGATGCAAACTCTTGACCGTCCAGGACCTTGGGATGTCCCCCGATGTGAAAGGCACTACATAAGTGCAATTTATTATCGTCCTTATCTCTGGGAGCTTCTCCTACCTCACTTTTCTATTCACCCTCTCAGCTGAGCTACCTCAGGCCCCCTGAGCTTCAGCTATTACAACCCTAACCTTTGGAACTCCCTCCCATTTTGTCGCCCCTTCTATCGAGTCAACTACAAGGGTATGGGGAAAGGGCAAAGTAAAAGGGACTGAAACGATTACTCTTAAAGGAGCCAGCGCAGACACAATAGGCCGAATGGCCTTCTGTGCTATAAATTTCTATGATTCTGTCTTTACATTCTTCCTACTTGTTTGATGATTCCCATGGGCACCTCCTTCTTCAACTCAACCCTCTCACTTGCTCGGCAACCTTAAGAAACACTCTGAGACGTTATCCTACACCAAAGGTACCATATAAATGCAAGTCGTTGTTGGTTTCCCTTTTGATCAGACTGATATTTCTCAAATCAGCTAACTGTTGGGCCTTTCTTCAGAAAGCATGCCCTAAATATCAAATATTTCATTCTAATAATTTTATAATTATTCATGGAGTCCTGTAGCTCAGTGGTTAGAGCACTCGCCTCGCAAGTGAGAGGACCCGGTTTTGATTCCCGGCAGGGCAAAACATTGGGCAAGTTTCCTTACTCCACACGCCTCG